GATTGCCAGCCTCCTGCCATGTGACTATGGCCCCCGGGATGTATTGCCCCTTTAAAGACATGATTTGGGCATAATGGATTTGTGTTGTGCTGCTGCTGGCCTTTTAAGAACCATCTGGGGACATACTGTGGAGTTACTGGGTGGCCACCATTTCCTGTATCAGAAGCACATGGTGAGAACAATGGATGGCGGCCATTATAACTCACAGACACTGTTTGGACTTTTCTACACGGTGCCATCTCGACAGTATTTGGGGCACAGAGACATCGTGCAGTGGTTTTAAACTATACAACAGGGGACACATTATACAGTAATTATTTTTCATATAGCCTGTATATGTTCTGCAGAATCTGCATTAAATTGTATTTTCCAAACTACTGAACGGATCTGGGTTGTGATCTTTGTCTGCAGTTAGCACGGTCCTCTTGGGCCCAAACATGCACAGTCTTTAAAGGCAACTTATTTCCAGTCACTTTATTGTTACACTCCACAAAGACAGCAGCACATGAAAACAAAAATGTGACAAAATCCTATAAACAAAAACCTAGCTCGGTCTGAGCACTAACTGACATCAAGTTCTCTCTCTCTCTCAAGGGTTTAATCTATAACAAAACAAGAAGTGGTTTCACCAACCTAGCGTCTTTTTCAGCTCTCAGCATTCCAGTGCTTCTGACAACCTGCTGCTTCCCTTTCTACACTCCCAGTGCTCCAAGCCAGCCTTGACAGCTTTCCTTTTTCACTCCCAGTGCTCAGTCTCCTTGACTCTCTTACTGGAGAGAACAGCCTCACTCCTACCTGCTTCCAGGGAGGACGCCAGCAATCCCCCTTTACCTGACTAGCAGGGAGGGGTTTATTCCCACTGCTACAGCTGATTATCTGCAACTGAGCAGTGTGTTGGAGACAGCTCCAAAAAACTCTGGCCTGGACATTATTTCCCCCAGTTGTGTATAAACTGAGGAGTGGAGCATTGGGCCACCCTGCTCTCCAAATGCTCCACCCCAGGGGCCCATAACTAAACGGTGGATTGTGTTGCCTACAACACATCCTACACATACTCCACCTGGGGTTAAATGTTATAGGCCTATCTGCCTTCACTTTATCACATATCCTCCCCCCCAGCTCAGACCCATCGGGGCGAGCGGCCTTCAAACACAAACCGTGAACGTACATATCACCTAGGGATGTACCAGCCCTGACTAGCTTCTCAGTTACAGGAAGTGGCCTATTGTAGATGGGGCCAAAGTATCCTATTCGTCATATGCACAAAGGGTGCCGTTGCACCATGAACCTGAATGGCAGTACTTTATGTTGCCACAACCCCACGGGAGTAGAACACACTGTCCTTCCCTTTGCTTTCTCTGTCAGGGGAACCTGCCAATACCCTATGACCAGGTCCAAGGTACTCCGATACCTGGCCTTACTTTTCCGCTCTTTGAGCTACATGTACTATAGGGCATTTAACATTTACAACCTCTGTAACAAATTCTACCTCTGCCGTGGGGTATGTGCGGGTGTCACCATTTGTACACACAATATTAATCATTTGTCTTGTATCACATTTCTCTGGCTGGAGGAGAACACTTTTCATCAAAGTAACCTCACTCCCTGAATTGATTAGTGCTTGTACAAAATTCCCTTCCACCATTACCACTTTTAACTGTGCTGTAACACCACCACTAGTCACCACACACATCTTTAAGCAAGTCAATACAATCCTATGCAGAGCCCTTATTCGTATGTCACACTGTATTGGCTCTTCACTCTCAGGACAGTTATATGTAACATGTCCTTGCATGTGGTCGTTGAAGCATCTGAGTTTCTCTGTCTGGTCTCTTAGCTGTAATGGGAACTTTTGGGTACGTTCTACCATCATAGTTATATTGTCCCAGACTCAGTATCAGGTTTTGTTCTTTCTTTCCAATTTCCCCGCTTATTTGGTTGTTAGCAGATCTAGGCTGAGGCTCAATACTGTGTGGCTCCTTAGCAGCCAAGTTCCTCTCAATCATCATCCGCTTCCACATCCACAGCAGCTTCTGGTTTGATAATCTTTCAATGTCCGAGTTACTTCCCAATGCAAACTTTACAAAGGCTTTGCGTGTAACTACCTTTTCTATATCATTTATACGTATATCACTTATGATTCCTTCATGAGCTGAATTGTCTGGGTGCTCCACCTCTTCAAGACCTGGTTCTGTCACCAGCTCATCCTCCACTGGAACAGGTCCCTCCATGAAGGGCTCCACAACATCCTCCATCAGTTCTGCGAATTCCTGGGAGCCTTCCTTGCTCCCTACGGGTAATGCTACAGGTCTCATCTCTATATCCTCAGGGGGTTGGCCAAGGAAGCTGGTCGACATTCTTGGGTAGCCTCGTCTACTAAACAGTGCACCGCATTGCTAAACTCAGCTGGGGTGCTTTGCTTCTCTCTATTAAGCTCAGCTCTTTTGCAGTTGTCTTCTCTGACTCCCCAAGTCAGTCTGCTTTTCATGTCTTTAACTTGTTCACTTGGGTGTACATCAGGGGCTCCTGCTTCGTTTGTCTTCCCCTGGCTGTATCCACTAGCTTTACTTACACCTTCTGGGTGGTTTTTGCTTACCACCGGCCCTCGGCCTTGCATACATCTTTTCCTCATCGTTGACGTTTTCTTTAGGATGTTTCTGCATGCTTTAGTCTGATCACCTTTACACTGTGTATTTTTACATGTCTCATTCTTTATAGCACAAACAGACTCGACACTGCTGGCCTCAGTCTCAGTCTCTCTTTCTCCTTTCGTTGCCTTGGGAAGATTTATCAGTACCTTTCTGTTTCCAAATGTCTTTCCAGCATTCTCTTGAAACATGCAAGATTCAGTTTCTGAGCATGAAAATATTTTTGTTTCAAACTCTTTTCCCAGGATCGCTTTATCTGTTGTGATGCCACTTAGAGCAAGTTTGAG